GAGAGAGAGAGAGAGAGAGAGAGAGAGAGAGAGAGAGAGAGAGAGAGAGATGAACCTGATAGAAAGAAAGCGGTAAATGAGGAAGTCAAGAGCGGATGTTTGGGTTTTTTGAGCCCATTCATTTAAAAAACACAGAGAAGAAAAGAGAGAGACAGAGACACCTGAGAAAAACCACAACAGCTTTTTAAAACTGAGCACTCACTGGTTTTCCCGAAACTAAGGGGCTCAGAGGCGCTGAGAACAAATCCCATTGACGTAAAAGCAGGCGCATGCTCACCATCAAACACATTATGTATACACGCACATACATACACACACACACAAACACACACTCACACTCATATGCATACAGTGTGAAAAACGAGAGGGTGCTGTAAATGTTTCTTTCTGAAGAATTCACACAAAATTTTAAACAACCACAAAGCAACAAGAAGGTAACCGATGCCTGCGAAAGCAAAGGGACTAGGTGTTGTGTAAGGTTTCTGCACTTAATCTGTCTTGCACCGAGTTTCTGCTAATGAGACAGACTTTTGATTTGCATTATGCCTACACAGCAAGTTTAGTGTACAACTGTGAGGTGCACAAGTGGAGATAAAAATAAAATAAAATCAGAGCACAGCTAAGATGTCAAAGGTGGTTTAAAAAAACCAAAACTAGAATATAAAATAAAAACTTTTGTTTTTAAAGCTTTTTTTGATCTGAGACATGCATTCATCTACTTCCGTGGAACCATCTGTTAAAGATGGATATGTCATTGCAGTTACAAAGCAAATATGAGATAATAAGCAGCTGTAAGATACCACGGGACTTAACTTGTGGCTCGGCTAAATATTGGTCATCATGAGGTTTGGTTTTTTTTGAGTGAATGCAAATGATGATGATACTTTTTGAAACTGCATGATCAAAGTGCCAATAAATTCTTGGACATGCTTTGCTTTCGGTCACATGATTCTTTGGGTCTTTGTATGAATTTCTGTAGTTTATTAGTGTGTGGGTGGTAGATTTTGACAAAGTAAAGTAACCATGCGTTAAAGTTTAATATTTGCATTCATGTGGTCTCGAAAACTCCTCTGGTGCCCTGTGTATTCTCACTACCACCACCTCACGCCTCGAGGGACCAGTCAGCTGACTCTGGATTGTTCAACATGTGAATACCAACAAATCACTCTCAGCCTAGATCTATAGTATACCTGTAGCTTCCAGGTTAATATGTTAGGTATGTTAAATCTCAATAAGTCCTTATCAGCAGTGAACCAGTTTTTCTTACATGAAGTGAAAATGCAGTCAATAATGGGAGGGCACACTGACTGACTGTACCTACTCAGTATGCACAGTCAGGTGAGTCATGGAGATCAAATAAACAAAGAACGCTACTGATATCTCACGTCCAGATTGTGCAACAGCAGAAGTTTTGTCTTCGACAGCAGGACATTGACATTAATGTTGTTTGGGTTGTTCCTCGTAAATCAATTGCACTGACATCTTATTGAAGTGAACAGTTTTCCTTGAGAACTTAGTTTAGACTTAAAAACGTGAAAGCAATAGTAATGATCAGACTGCACGTTTTCATCACAAGGGCCTTTCGATTTTTGGTAAGAAGTTGTGATACATGATTAATGTTAGAAAGCTTTCTAATAAAAACACTTTGATATATAATACAGTAGGAATAATATGACTGCACAATTCCATGCAGCTGCTTTAGTTTCAGGGGTATCGTCGCATTACGAAGGGTGACTGGGAAAGTTGAATCAAACAAAAGCATCATTAACTGCATATGGTTTTCCTACGGTGAAACTCAAAACGTCTGTTTTGAAACTGGATTAGGATGCGTACTCATACACCTATACACTGGAAAACACATTGAGATAATGGGATATGTGTGAAACCTATAGCTTAAATATAATCACTTGCTATCATTTGCATGTTTGAATCAAGAGGCGTGGTCAGGAGCTGAAAAATGAACCCAACATGTACATGCATGTTAGTTGACTTAGCTATTTTAAGTTAAATCAACTCATATTGACTCCCATATGTATGTGATATACCCACACGCTTTCCTAACCAAGCTAGCTAAGTGGCACTGTAAAGTTAACTCTCCATGTCCTTTTTATATCTATAGAAACTTTTTGCTCCCAAATGACCACCATCATGAAGCTAAAGTTGCAATCATTATACCATGGCCATCTTTTACATACAGTTTGTGATTTTAATGTTCATGGTGTTGAGGATGAGTCTGAACTTGTTGCATATGTCCTTCTATTTACTGTCACTGGCCATGTTATACGATTTAAAAATGACAATATGAGTCAGATTTAAACTTTACATTTTTTTGTAACAATAAACTTTTTCTGACAAAGTTTAAGCTGAGTGCAACTTTCATATCTGGCAATTGATGAGTCACCACTTCTGAGAAGTTGGGATTGACTTGAATCTCAGACTCATACTGTACAGTAGACCTCAATTTTCAAACCATTATCCTCTTAGAAGTCCCTCTAATGAAAATTTCTTGAAGTGAAATGATTGTGCTGAATTTTCAAATCCATAAAATGTGCCAAGTTATGACTTTCAAAATGACAAATGACACAATCATGCACAAGGTGGATGAATCATCTTTTAAGTTTACTATATACACCAGTTACCTGGATGGATGGATTGATTGTATATCATAAAGTGACACCCAAATATCAGAATGAAAAAGAAAATAATCAACATACGTATCTCCATCTTCATCTTGTCTTGTTGCTTGAGCGATACCAGCCAGGACGTTTTCAGTTTGGTGGGCCACAACATTATTTGGCTCTGAGAGATGAGGCAGGCAGAACACTGGGTAATGACCTAAGCAGGGATGACACAGAATGAGAAATAGAAACAATGAGAAAGAGAAATAAAAAGAAGTTTGCAGGGAGAGAGAAAGAAAAGAGAAATGATGAAGATATAAATGAATAATTAGAAAAGCTCCTGGCAAGCAAGTGATTTCTGTAATAAGGAAGTGGATAAGTTACAAGTCATATACTGTAAATATGAGTGTGCTGTATTCAGTTATAAACTGACCCAGTGAGCTACTTTGATTCATGCAGTGAACACACTAATGAGGGGTACAGTAGGTGTAAAATAGCTTAGTGGGCATTTTCAGCAGCAGTAGCTTCTCTATGGTCTCTGACTTCACTGTCTTTTCTGCCACAATGTCACACTGGCAGAGAAAACCACTAAAGAAAGGGGAGGAGGAGCTGTCTGTTGCCACAGTTTTAAAAATCAAAACAGCATTAGCAGGTAATGCCCTGTAATACCACAAAAATGATATGCCCCAACATGTAGTGCCTTGCTCTGTCCTCCAAACCTACATTTTGTCAGCTAGTCTGATCATTTTACCCACAGGCTGCTATTTCACGTATTATTGGTTAAACCAAACAAATATTCAATGCGTTTTTCTTTGGAGAACAGTGAAATCAAAACTTCAGATGGTAATTTTACAGACATCTCATGGTCTCATAGTCTCATGGTCCAATTCTTACTTTGGGGTTTAAACACTTACAATATTTAAAAACAAAACAAAATAATAAAGCTGTTGCACAACATACTGCAGTATTAGACTTAATGTTGGCCAGCAGGGCTTACCGTAAGGGAAAAAGCACATGGGGTATCCATTTGGAATCTGTCCTTCCAGCTGCCTGGGAGTCACTGGTGCTATGCCGACTCTTTCCACGGGATCGGCTAAAGTCTTATCTTCCGGAGGAGAAAATCGGTCTTCTCTTTCTGCTTTAGACGGTGACAGTCTTTTAGTCTCCGGTTCGACAGGAATCGGGCGTTTCCTAAAAGGAAGCTGTGAGGCAGATCTATCCGCTGGACGCTTGCGAGAAGTACTGGTTGGTGAGACCGATACGCCTCTGACCGTGGGGCAGTTTTCATCTAAACTGTCCGCCCCTGTGAACGCCGGAGGTGCAGGTGAACCGCCTGTTACCCGAGCGTCCCTGGAGCCACAAGCTGGAGTCCCCCCGGCGTTCCCACGCACTCGGACATTGGTGCGCAAATCCAGCGGCACTGGGGCAACCGACTTGTGGGTACCGTTCATGGTCATGATCCTTGGCATCAACTGGGAGAGATTCTTCGAGATCTGAAGAAGTTTATTGGAATCAGTCAAAGCAAAGTGAACCGACCGTGCGCAATTCCCATATCCATGAAATCAACTGGACAGCGATCAGACCATCACCCTGTTTCCTTTTGAGTCACTAGTGGGGTTTAGATAAGCGTTCGAATTCAATGACCTGTGGGGGGAAAAACACAAAAAATTAAAAATAAAATAGTCTACATGTGAAGAAACGCTAAGAGATAAGGTACTTATGTGTGTCCTAGTGCACCTATGACAAGGTAGAGTGCAGCTGCGCGACTTTCATCTGCTTTTAATGAAGTGTCAGAGCGACACGGTGCTTTCCCTTTAAACCGAAACAAAACGATTCTACCACTTAACTTTATACTAAGAAAGGCAGGAAAACAGCGACGAATTCATAGCATTCTTGCATTTCCGACTTCTGACATCTGTCTGTTTTGCATGCAAGTTAAAAACATTTAACACCGAATTTCGCAAGAAGTTCATGGCTCGTTGCTTGTTCAGAGACTCTGTGCAATAGCAATGTGAAGAACAAACACGGAGGCACTAGTCGACTGTCGATCGACTGTCCAGCACATGATCAATAGGTGACAACTTTTTTCTTTTAAAATAGTTCAACATTGTTTCACATTTAATGTTTCAACATTAAATTTGGATTCAATACAAATTTTGATTTGTGAGCAACTTTCAGTTTAGCAAGGTAATCAAAGTATTCATTAAATTACCTTGCAGAAACTATTACTACTAACTACTATCAAAACATGAAAAAACAACCCTTTCTGTTACAAAGACGAAGTCAAGGAAAAGATGACTTGATGCTTGATGCTAATAATTTTTTAAGGCTGTCTCAGCCGAGTTTAGAGCAAAATATTTTATTTTGCTAGTGACTGGTCATGAGTAAATAAACGAATAGCCACACTATTAACTGGGAACTACATGAACATTGCTTTGCTTTCTGTCTTTTTTGGGGGTTTTTTATAATTCAATTCAGGTTCAGCTATATATCCTCAAATCACAACAAATACTGCCCCAAGGAGCCTTAAACCATAGCAATCAGTCAGACACCAACCTCTCAGAGAACAGAACAGGTGAAGGCTCACGCAGGTTCATCCAGTCGTGCAGTAACTTCTAAAAGAAGCATGAACTTCCCTAAGATTTTGTTACTTACCTGTGTATTTGGAAGGCCTATCCATGATTACTTGATGCTGTGAGTTATGGGCTCTTCTGCGCATGCTCTGCACAGCCATGTGGTGGTGGCCAAATGAGACCTTTCAGGGCTAAAGAAAATTAAGCAATATTGGAACTGCAGTTCCTCAAATGACCACTTCAGGCTGACTCCTAAAGAAAGTCAGTCCACATGGACTCCAGTATTAAAGTAACCAGTTTAACAGCACAATTTATTTTAATTAAAGTCCATAATTGTGGTCCTACTATAGCTTTTGGAGCGTTTTTAATGCAATTATCTGACTAGTAATTTGGGTAGTCCTATCCATCCATCTATCCATCCATCCTCTTGTTAGCACTAATAAGTAGGTCTCTATGTCTGTGCCAGGCATCTATATAGTTTGAAAATCAAGCTTGCAAGCTTTTTGACTCTTCTAAATTTTGTGACATCTAATAAAACAACATTGTGACAGTTATAAAGCAGACCACAAATTAATGTGTGACATCGTTTTGTATGCTATCTGTGGTGATGCCCTGCCTGACAAACGCGCTGGCCATACCTTTATAGTTCAATGTCATGATCTATATCAAGGTCATGCCCCAGATTTCTCTGTGTTTTCAGTAAGCAAAGACTAGCAAAGGAATAGTTGAACTACTCAACTCATTATGCAAAGAAGTAGTGCAGCTACCAGAAAGTTACTGAAACCAGCAGGTTACTGAAACAAGCTACTCCAACAATGCATTTAGTGTTTTCCTTTCTGTTACTGTAAATATGTTCACTGTGCAAGCATAGCCACATGCTTGGACCATGGCTTCTACCTTGTATTTAGAGTAATTTAAGCTGTTTCTGCCATATAGCAAGCAAACACATTTCATGAGGAAGAGGTGACAAAAGATTTTGAAAGGTAAACTTCCCTTTTGAAATTTTCAAGGATCCTCTAATGATGAGAGGTTGCATACATCCTGGACAGCTCAACAGCCTGTCGCAGAGCAAACACAGAGATATAGACAACCATTCACACTCACACCTAGGGGGCAATTTAAAAATTACCAGTTAACCTAACCCCACTAACTGCATGTCTGTGAGAAACTGTGCAAGCACGGGGTCCCAGCCAGATGGTGGAGTTGAGTGCTAACACCTTCACCACAATGCTGCCTTAGTTCAAATAAGGCTTAATGTGACATTGTCAGCATTTGTCTCAAATATTTGATTAGTTTATCCCTTGCCTTGAGTTGGTGATATCACCAGGCTGCAGATCAGAGCTGAATTCAAGCAATCCCCAAAGGGATTAGGGATAAAGGAAGATTGACTCATCAGTTAATTCATGTTACTCCTACGCTTACAGGTACCCACCTTTCCTGATATCAAATTCTGCATGCAATCCTGAAAATGCAAACACATGCAAAAATCACATCTCATCTTCTTATCTTTAATCTTATCCCACCCCACCCTCTGCCATGTTCAGATTACCTTGGTCAATTTGGGACTTTCCTCTTTCCACTGAAGTGTGGAGTGGGCAACGGAAAGTTAAGTATAGTGCTAAAGTCCCTAAAAAGCCCTGACACTATACAAACAAGATCTGCAGCTGTTGGGTTATTCAAGCATTATGGTCTGGATTTAAGTGTCAGCCTTTATGAAAATTACATGCTTACTTCTTTTACACCCGGCCTGATCCTGAACACGCACTTCATATCGATTACAGCAGGATGAAAGTTTGGTGAAGTTACTGAAGTTTGGTGACATTTAAGAAGATGCAAATATATGTCAACAGAACATCTTCTCACACTCATTTAACATTTTAGGGACTTCATTCAGGCTTCAGGTGAAGTAATAATCATAGATGATAGAAAGTAAAATATGGACACAAGCTGCAAAACACTGAAATGGGGCCCCCTTGTGCTCTGAGAGCACAGGTGCATCTTGAATCTTTTAAAAAAATGCAGACATGAATTGAATCTTGCAAAAACACAAATAAATAATTTGGGCCTAAACAAACTTCTGATGTGTTCCCCTGATTAGTGGGTTTGATACCTGTTATTACTAGCAGATGGAGGAGCACTAACCTACTGCAGCATTTACAGCTACAGAAAATGTGACTTTTAGTGAGTCAAAAGACCAAAGCATTTTTGAAATGTGATATGTATGTTCTTCACTTAACGCAGAGTCAACTGGAATTTAAGTGAAAAGTAATGTAAGTAAAGTAAAAATAAAAATAAAATGAAAAGACTGCACTGGCAGCTGAAAACTGGATGTGCTTAGTCTGATAGGCTGAGTTAGTGTCTCCCCCTTGTGGATACTTCAAGCCAGGCTTCATTTAGACGATGCATGATTAGATGTATCTACTGTATATGTAATACCTGTTTGAAATGTAATTTAAACAAGATACTGACTCGGTATCAAAAAAGAGCAAGAATGAAAATATGTCAGTAAATGTAAAATGAAAATCTTTTCATTTACATTTCACACCCGGGGATTTGTATCTGCTCCTGTCCATTCTGGATTGAGTCCCAGTACAGTTTACATACTGTGCCAAAATCTCAAGCCACCTCTCCTTGCTTCATTTTTTTTCCTTCCAAGGAACCAGACTTTGTTGTAATTATTTTTAGAAGGACTTGATCTGTAGTTGGTCTTTTAAAGTTTTTCTTGGGCTGCCTTTTCACTCATTTTCAGTTCAGTCTTCATACCTGACTATTTTCACCTTTTATGTATTGATTGAAGTGTCAGGCCTAGAAAAAAATATATACAGTAGATGAAAGTCGTGTCCTTAAGAAAAAGGAACAAATCCAACAAGGATCTGACACAGAGCCTAAAAGATGCATCTGGCCTTTCAGTACTGTTCACTGAAGCCTCATCAGAAATGCTCTCGGTGGAAAGGTGCCTGTCGAGATCTTATTCTTAATGAAGGGGAAAATGGAGAAAAGGCTGCACATGAACTGGACTAAAAATTAGTAGCAACAGATTTTAAGAAGTGATGAATCCAAATGAAAAATTTGGAGGTTTTCCAGACTAATGTTTAGTTTGTTTTCTTTTAACTTTAGCATTTTGTGAACATCGTATATTTGACATGGTTATTATTTGTGCTATCAGCCTCCTGAAAAGCCATTAGCAGATCAGTGCTCTTTGCTATGAAGTGGTTAGGTGGATAGCAAAGTATGAAAGAAATACCTGACCACAGAAACTGACAAAAACAGCAAATTTTGCTTTTTAAAAACTGTATGATATTTTCTTGAACAATGTATACGTTGAGTTTTACTAAATACCGGGGAGGTGTTTTGAGTTGTGCTGATATAAGATGATTTAAAAAAAGACAAACTTAAAAAATGCAGTAGCCAGAATCCTCACAGATACATGAAAATGTGATAACATTGCCTCAGGATTGAAGACACTTCATTGGCTCCCATAGCTATATATAATTACCTTAAAAATGTGTTCTGTCTTGGTCCCCAAGTACAACACAAATTCCAGAAAAGTTGTGACATTCTTTAAATTTGAACGTAATGAAAACTAGAAGACAATATTTTATGCACAATAGAACAAATGTTCAAACTGGGAAACTGGACACCTTCATCCACTAAATGTGTTCATTTCAAATTTGATGTCTCTACAGGTCAAAAGAATTCTGCCACAGGGCAACAAACCGCTGAAAAAGTGGGAAATGTCAAAAAGGGAGAACATCCAGCAATTAATCTAGAAAGTAATTAAGCAAAGTGATCTGTTACATGATTAGCTAGAGACGTCTTAGAGAGGGAGAGTCTTTCAGAATTAAAGATTGGGAAATGCTGTCAAATCGGTGAAGTAATGCATAAAAAGATAATGGAATATTTAAAAGCAGTGTTTCCCAACATCCAATTTGATGTGTTTCCAACATCAAATTGCAAATACTTTGCAACTCTCATGATCTACATAACATAACATAACATGCACAACATCATCAAAAGATTCAGAGAGCAACTAAAGCTCTATCAAATGAAATGGAAGCTATAGTTAAACATACTCCAGAAACGCCGTTGTGTCCTGTGGGCCAAGACTCATTTTAAAAGTGGGAATTTGATCCATGGTCATATGAGTCCAAATTTTATATTCTTGTTGTTAATCACAGACGCCATGGCCTCCAGGCTAAAGAAGAGGGAGACCTTCCAGCATCTTCTTTGATGGTATAGGGATGCAGTGTAAGTGTACACAGTATGGGCAGCTTGCATGTTTTTTAAGGAACTGTGAATCCTAAAAGTCATATAAAGGGTTTAGAGGAACATATGCTCCCCTAAAGATGATGTCTGTTTCAAGGAAGGCCTTGTATTTTTGAGCAGGACAATGCAAAACCACATACTGCAGCTATTACAACAGCATGGCTTCATCGGAGAAGAGTCCGAGTGCTGAATTGGACTGCAGTCCAGATCTTTCACCTTGAGAATATTTGCTCAATGGTTAAATAAAAAAATACATCAAGTGTGACCACAAACTCTTCAGCAGCTGAAAACCTATATCAGGCAACAATAGAACTAATTTTTTTTAAAGAAAAAAGAATTGGACTAAATTCTGAGTCCAAAACTCAAGAAATTTCTAAACTCAGTGCCCAGAAGTCTTCAAAATGTTTTGAAAAGCACAGCAGATGAGGTGTTAAGATTATAAAGTTTAAATGTAATGGAATGTGCTATATAAATAAAATTGCCATTGTCATAAAAATTCTATAGCCCTGAAGGACAAGTTAAAATTCTGCGTGAAGTCACCGTGTTTATACGTGACAAAGGTTAAAGCATCATCTTAAAACTAGCAAACACCTGCCTCATGGTGGTGCCAGAGGAAAAGTCAGTAGATCTCCAAAATAAATGATAAACTTAATCTATGTTACATTAATTGATACAAAAGTTTGGGGACAGTTGGTTTTTTACATTTTCATCCCAGACAGCAATATTACATAAAAATCTAATTGCAGAGTAAATAAATTTAATTTAAACGTTATACAGACAAAACAGTGAGGTGAAGATGACGGCTCTTTGACCTTTGTATTCATTTCACAGGCGTCCAGCTCATTAGTTACTATACCTGTCTGGATAGTGACTAGTTTAGCTGCAGTCTGCTTTCATTCTTAGTAAAAGTTTAGTTTTGAGTCCACACCTCTCTGTCTTCCTCCCTCCCTGCCACCCACCTCTCTCCCTCCCTCTGTTTCTCTCTCTCTCTCTCCCTCCGCTTGTCTGCCTGAGCAATAGACCAAAGAAACAAACCTATTTGGTTTCCTGGTTGCAGCAAGACAATCAAGACGAGGGGCAGAGTGACATCAAGCAAGACAAAGGAGAAACAGTAATGTTTCAGGCCATGACAGAAAACATGTTTCCGCTGCGCTGACAGTAGATGCACTAGCTCTAGGACTGCATTGCTGCTGAGATGTTGGTAAGCAAGAGTACAGTGCTTAAAATCTGCTATAAATGTGTAGGGGTGGAGAGAAAGAGAGAGAGAGGAGAAGGGAGCGTGATGGCAGAAGTTTCAAATGTTTTGAGGGCTTGGTGTTAGCCTCAGTGCCTCTTTGTGTTTTATTTTTAGTGCTTTTCTTGGCCTCGAGTGTTGTAAGGCCCGTATTAAGTTAAACTTACAATGTAGAATTTGTTTTGTAGCACTTGTATTTTTGTATTTCTGAAAGACGAACACAGGAGTGAGCGAAAAATCAGTAGAAGTGGCTGTATTGGCTGGAAGAGCACACTTTTCTTTTCCTTTTTAAATGAAACGTAATTGTAACTGCTCCTATTGTCTGTTGCTGGATAATGTAATACTACTGGATTGTTATGGCTCAACAATGGATGCGGTTTAAGGAGGACAAGATGCATGCTTCTGAGATTAACATGATGGCACGCAAATATCGTTCTGAAGACAAATATCAGAGTGAACGCTCAAAAACTTGAACCAACCACTAGCTTCATTGCTTATGAATATTCACACATTCAAAAATTGCGATTACACATCTCTTGACACAGCAGAACTGTAGATATTTATTGACACCCCCCCCCACACACACACACACACACACACACACACTCACAGACTCACAGACTGAGTTTTTGGTTGACTTCACCTGAAACCTCACATTAGCAGAACAATGGCGGCAGCAGATTTGGGCGCGTCCAGGAGCCCGAATTTGAGCTCCGGGCCCCCCACTCGTGGTGATCTTCGGCTCGTGGGCAAGACCCTCAGAAGACTGGATAAACTCCAACAGCTGTGCAGTACCCCTCGGCTTGGACTGAGAAATAGTCCGCCATACCTACCACAGCTGCTGTCAGAGACCTCAGTGCTGCTCATCCAGGTCTGGGAGCCTTTCCAAGGCTTCAGGCAGGCAGGTGGACAGGTGCCACACGGAGACGAGGCAGAGTACCTGAGGATCCATATCAAAAACCTCTTTGATAAGACAGAGCGGGCTCTACTGCTGTTTAAAGAAGGACGGAGGAAGATATATGAAGAGACTTCAACTTACAGGTGAGAGGGCCCCTGGCTGGCATCTACATACACATGTAGGGGAAGAGGGAAAGGTTGGTCTTGAAACACCAAAATGTTTCAAGACCAAGAAATTGTTTAGAAAACAAAGAACAACTTTTTTTTTAAGAAAAAGAAAACTCTGTGTAACATATTCATTATTACATTTTTACTATAACAGAACATTGTGACATTTGTAAAATTAGCATTTGTTTAGATTACATTTATGTTTTTCATCAGTTTAACCAAAAATGCAAACTCATCCTAGTTCCAGTCTCTTATATGTGAAAGCATGCACTTTTTTTCAGTATTTTGGCCTTGTTCAGACAAGTGACAAGACATGTGAAGTCATCGCAAATAATAATAAATTTTCTTTCGTTATTTCTTTTTTTTTGGGGGGGGGGGGGGGGGCGCAAGATTAACAGGTTAATCTGCCAAATTAAATTTCTGTTTCTTTGGCCCCAAAAATATGTTTTTAGATTTTCAGAGAGTAATTAAGAAAATCCTCACTAAACTTTCCAGAAGTCTCACAGGTCAAATTTCCTTAACAGCAGCACATGTACAGAAGTAGGAAATCAGTTTCTGACCGAATTTTGGAAGCATTGTGTATCAAGTTGTTAAGAACTGAACATGTTATAAAGGTGATTGTCTGAAATGTTGGCCTTTGTCCGAATGAGGTGTGAAGCATTGTCAGACTTCTCAAAAGCCCGGCCTACCACGACGCCTCGATTATAGGGATGGTTAAGCTAAGGAGCCGTGGCTATGCATTACTAACTGTAACGATGGCAGCCTGACTGAATATGGAAAAACTGACCAACAGCACTTATTTTTCACAATACAGCTCGGATATTTGTTTTATTATTTAAATAATCTTGAGGTAGTGGTCATTTATGATGCCAGTCATACCTTTATATGTACCTATGTGATGTTTTTAATTATCAAAATGCTTCCCACCCAAGAATTTGTCCACTTTGTTTGCAATTTTTCATAGTTTCTTGCAGGAACCAGTCTGTTAGTGTGGCAGGGACAATAGAAAGTTCTGTTGGATAATTTATTGCTATGTAAATATACGTGCTTGTCATCATTATGGACTTGTGTTATTTTAATTTACCACTTCTAATCACTGCTTTGTAGTGTTTTGCAGTAATCCATGGCTGTCAGACCTGGAATATCAAGCTTTACTGTAGGCAGATACTTAATGCCAAAAGTGATGATGAAAGCCATTCAGCTGACAGAGATGAATTGGGTTAACTTTTCTTTGCGTAAAATTGTTAAAAAATGAAATTATTTAATTATCTAAGAAGGTTTTAGAACTTCTGTCAGATTTGGGAAACAAGACATTTTTGTGGCATATTCCTGTATGAAATATAATGGAGTCATAAACGACTTTTAAGCTTGAAGTTTAAATACTGTTAAAATGTACCTCTATTTCTTTAAGACTAAAAGAGGTCTGAGGTCTTAGTTAATCTGGTATTGTGCAACAGTTGACCAAAATGAGATTAAATCAGTCTGTATGTGGCCACTGACCATGAGTTTGACATCTCCGCTTCATACCAATTGTCTTGCAAGTCACTGTAAGATCTTAGATTCGAATTTTCCAGACTTTCCATTTCTTTTGGTGCCACAAATGAAATCGGCCATGCCGATCCAAGTAACGCAAATACCCAAGCTTTCCTAATCGAAGCAAATACAATGTGTTTTTAACCAGATGCTAATAAAAGAAACTGGACAGAAAATTATAAAAAGCAAAATGAGTGAACATCCATCTGATATTATTATTGCCAGATTAGACTACGATTCCTTCACTCTCAACCAGATCATGTTCTCAAGCCAATTTTTTTTCTGATATACCAAAGGAACTGTAAAATACGAAGACTCTCAATTTACGTCATTTGATCTAGTGTCAAATCTTGTGTAGAGTATCTAATGTAGGTGCTGTGGCTAGTCAATTTTGTGGGAATGAATTTAGGTAACAGAAACCATAAGAGTTTTGTCTCTCTAAACTCAACTTCTGCAGGAATATTAAATAGACTATAAAAGAAAAAAGCAAAACTTTCCCCCATTTCTTCTTCCAGTATCCTGTGACCAAGGGTTTTATACCACTTATGCATTACTAAAGGAAAAAAAGTTCAAATTAAATATAGCCCATTATAATTGCCTGATTTAAAGGTCTTACTTGAAAGCAGTGATAGAGGTTTAAGCTCATCCTTAAACAAATTAAATGCACTGAAGAAAAAACTATTTTAAACCACCTATAGAAGCTGAGGCAAAATAAAATAAGACTTTACTCTCTGTACTTATATTTTCTGTTTGTACTATAACTTTCTGTCTGCTGTTTCATTCAAGTGGATATTCTGGAACAGCTTAATAGACTTACTTATATGTGGAGTGTTGGCTGCATTTTCCTGCACCTGTTTGGAATACTAATAATTAAGGTGGAAAAGAGCCAACCTTGCACTTTTGTGATGCTAATATGGGGAAACTAGAAAAAACAACAACAACATCCTTTGAATTTGAGCAGTGTGAGAAAGAGACTGTCTAACCTTGAGCACGATTTTTTGCCCGCATTTGCCTACGAATATACCAACCTGCAACTGGTGTTAGTTCAGAACTGAGTGAGCAAATAACTATTCTGTTGTCACAAGTTTAGCGCCCTGCCAAATTTATTAGCTAGCGTGAATGCTGAATAAAGAAAAGCTGATTTGCAATGTTCTCGGCGAGCACCAACTAAAATATAGTCCAATCTTTTATCAACTAGCTGGTGATAATGATTGATGATGATTTTTTTTTTGTTCTGACTGGATGTAGTTGCATTAACCTTCATGTGCTTTGATATTACATTTTAACGTTTTAGCTTTATTCCAAGGCGCTGGCTGGTTTGCTGTTGAAAAGCAGCGCTCAAAATTTGTGCAGCAACTGCGAAATAAGTGGAGTTTTGTCCTGGACAGGTCACTACTCCATCACAGGGTTAATATAGAGAGCAGCCCCCACTCCTGCAACCAACTTAGCACCATTAGTTAAGCTTGCATGTAAACCTTTAACCGGTGAAAAGTAACTGGGGCGCACAGTAAAAATAGACACAGAAAGGTTCCACCTGACCATAGTCAGTTCAAACCACAAAACTGCTTGAGGTGACAGTGATCTACTAACTGAAGTAGCTCGGTTATATTATACATTGAAAAAATCTTTATTTAGCATGTTAAAAGACAAAGTTAATAAACAAATAATTATATCAACATCAAAATTACAGTTTAAATATCATTTTTATCCCTTCTGCTGGTTCAGTTGGGGAGCTGGCTGTAACTCTATAGAGTCCACTGCATGCTGTACAATGTACGCTCAGTTCTGCTAAAATTTCACAGCCAGCAGCTGTTTTCAAAGATGATTTTCCCGTAGAATATGAAAATCACATAACCCATATTTACAGTTTTATGTCGTCATCTTCAAGAATCTCAAGCATGTACAACAGATGGCCCTCATACCACAAATCCTGCATGGTCAGTCATGTGGCAAGTTCACAAATTGTTATACATATTGTGGTTTAGACATCAGAACAAATCTCTTTTATATTCTCATCGTTTTTTTTGGATTGTACTGCTACAGCTCATACAAATAAGCAAATTTTCAGTCTGCTTTTAAAGTATTTGACTGTTGGAAGCTGAAATAGCAGTTCTTTACATGAAAGTTCAGCCTGTTAAAAATTAAAAACAGAAGTGAGATCTAATTATTATTTGAGACGACAGAAACCAACAGTGGAAGCTTCAGCGGTTGGAAGATTATCATAAGCGAAACACTGACAACTTTGAGGGTATCTGAAAGAAATTTAAGAAGCACGCATACAGCTGCAGCATTAGCATAACAACATAGGTAGTTCACACTTCTGTATTAACTTGTTGCACATTATACTTTTTTAAACATGTTTAAGGAACCATTATTCTTATTTCACCAATCATGCAGTAAGTATTCAGACAAGTCAAATTAGCAATACCGACAATGTTATTGAAATATTATCAATATTGAAGTATTATCAGCTCCTTACGCATGGTAAATGGCCTGTATTTATATAGCGCTTTACAAGTCCCCCAAAGTGCTTTACACAAGCAGTTATCCATCCATTCACACACTGGGGATGGCAAGCTACATTGTAGCCACAGCCACCCTGGGGCGCACTGACTGTCTCGCCCAAGGACTGAGACTGTCCAAGCCGGGCTCGAACCGGCAACCTTCCGATTACAAGGCGAACTCCCAACTCTTGAGCCACGATTGCCCTCAAGCCACGTTATATCTAAAGAGCTCTAGCTACTTACTTATGATGCATTTAAGTCTGTCAGTTATTTATCTATTTTTTTTTTTTAATATTTGTGCACTGTCATTTTGACTGAGGAAGGGGCCTCACATAGTGTTTTGTAGAACTACACACAACTATCAAATTTCTGAAGTGGAGTAGATTTATAATAGTCTTGCTCTGAATTATGGCAGGATGTATATTATAAAACAAGTAGTGGTTACCACATAGTTTGGGTGTTGCAAATGGTTTTAAACACGAATCTGTATGCTTTGAAAAAACAAGAAACACTGATAATAGCTATATGATTATGATTCTAAATATTAACATGCAGAATTGTTTCAAATTGGAGAAATATTCCCATAGTGTTCGATGCAAGCGGCTCTCTTTCACTTACATACCTGTCAATTAAATCTGAAATCTTGCACCATGGAACATCTTGTTTGGTGCTGGCAGAGTTCAAAGGTGGTTACTGACCCAGAGATTACTTGAAGTAATTCTGTTTTGCTGCGTGATGCAAAAAAAAGAAAGAAAGCAACAGTAACAAGAAACTTCACATCAAACTGTTTGAGGTCACGCACAAGCTGGTGAGGAACATGCCAACAATGTTCAGCTACAAATGACACCAAATTACTATAATGCAAATTATTATATCTCATAATAAAAGGAATTAAAGCACTTCCCCTAATGTTAGCTGATGTGTTTATGGTTCTATTCAGTGCAGTGTTTCTGTCTTTTGAATGATATTTTTAAGTACAAAGGCCCAGCCAGAGTGAGAGATGTGGCTTACACATTTCCTCCCGCCTCCTCCTCTACTATTACTCTTGAGTACTCTATTTAACACCATAGAGGGTTTTCTTTTTCTCATTGAGGTGGAAAGTCTATAACCACTTTCCACAATAGCAGATTTCTAAAGAATTTTAAATATTTCAACAGTTATGATTGCCTCCAGAGTTGCATCATAAAAGTGTTAGAAAAGAGGAAATACTTTGTGTTACAAAATTTAGTTTCCTTAGTAAGTTTAAATACTCGAATTATTGATTGGGATTAGTGCACAGAGAGCTGAAACAGACAGTAGTGTTTTTTAGTCAATATAGACAATAAATATGGAAACATAAATTAAAGCCCTCCTCTACTTGTTCATTGTATTTATTGTAAAGTAAATAAAGTAAACAGAAGTACAGATGCCCACATGTAAAAAGTGAAAGCATATCTAAATGTCCGTAGCTTCTGTGTTTTCAAAGTTCATTAGTAGTACATGCACTAGCTTTTTAACACATTTTTATACATGTTGTGCTGCATAAAACACATGGAGGAGGACGGACCCTTACTTGTTAACACTACACATTATGGCATGTTGTTGTTGTTGTTATTTTTTTAATATACTCCCATTTGAGAGTTGCACCAAGTTGCTTCAAGCAAAAAGAGAAAGTTTTTTGTTAACTTAAACTAAAAGTTATAAATATGTGTAGCATCAAAATAAAACTATCAAAAATATCAATTATATTTATAGAAAGCCTTTGAAGTGCCTGAGAAGACTATTGAGACTGGCCTAAAGTGACACACTGGCCAATGGAACATTTTGTGGTATTTACAGACAAGCATGCAGCAGGCAGCATCCTGTTTGCAAGGTGGACTACCTGTTGAGTGTGTTTGATTCTGTTTGTGTGTTTGTATCTATGGAAAGTGTCTGTATTTCTTGCAACTGAAACAGAAAGGTAGTATATAACAGTGCCTATATTTGTGCACCAGTGCTAAAAGTTCAGATATCTATTTGTACTTAATGCAATTACATAAAGCTTTAGGAAATCTCATTTTAAATAGGAACACTGTGTATACTTGAGATTCACAAACACAAGGGTTTCTGCCTAGAAAAAGATTGTATTGCATGATTACTCAGACACTGTGGAGCAAAACTATAAATGTTTCTATAAAAGTTTCTGCAGCCAGAGCTTAAAGTCTGTGACGTCTTTCATTCTCAGGAGGAATTTGACCAAGCTGACTTTGTTGTTCAGTCACATGCTGTGGGAGCTGAAGGCCTTTTATCCAGGAGGATGTTTTCAGGGTGACAAATACAGGGTGGCGTTATCTGCAGCTGAGGACTTTTGGAGGGAGTCATTTGGCGACAAGTTAGTATTGAAACATTTCTTGACATCGTCTTATGTGTATGTTTACATCTACCAAACGTTAAGCATGTGTTCTGACAGGTGTATAGTGCAGTGGAATACCTTTAAAGAACAGCTGAGAAATGTACATCCATTTGAGGAAGGGATGGAATCTATGGCTCTGAAGTCAACCATTGACTTAACTTGCAACGATCACATCTCTGTGTTTGAGTTTGATGTTTTCACGCGACTGTTTCAGGTAAGGTGAAAGTTTTGTTACATTAAGAACCAGATGGTGTAGGAAATATGTCTATTTGCATTTTTGCTTGTCGGAGAATGGTTTGTTACCAGTAGCTAGTTACTGTAGCTTCGCACGATAGATGAAATAAGAAAACTGTACAGCACCGCTAAAGCTCATGTTTGTTCAAAGAGAACAAATCCAAACACTAAACAGATCAGTTGCCCTTTTAGAGGAGTGTCACTAACAAGGCCGTGCAAAAGATTAAGGCATGCAGTATCCAAGATCAAATCCTCTTCCCTCATCTCTTTTAGCCGTGGAGGACTCTTTTAATGAACTGGAACCAGCTGGCCGTGACTCATCCAGGCTACATGGCCTTCCTCACCTATGACCAGGTTATAGCTCGTCTGGAACACTACCTGCACAGACCTGGGAGGTGAGGATTCATGCATCACTCAGAAAATATTCAAAAAGTATGAAAATATGAAAAAGGTCTCAAGATTCTAAATATATATATAAATAAGAGAATCTTTTCATTTATTGCTCCACTATTATACCTTTAGTTTTCTGGGGGTTTATTCAAGAAATGTTTCTGCAAACAAACATTAGCCATGGCCAAAAGTATCATGCAGTGCAAATTTTTTATTGTTATTATAGCTAAGAATGAGAGGAATTTAATTTGCTTAACACCATTTGAAAATTGTGTAAAATCTTCTGCTGATATTTCTGGAAAACCTCAATGTCTCTTAATGTGGTTATTTTTCCATTTTCTGTGTGAGCTACATGTTTTCCTTTTCCTTCCAGCTATATCTTTCGTCTGAGCTGTACAAAAATGGGAGAGTGGGCTATTGGCCACGTGACATTTGATGGTGCCATCATCCAGACTATCCCGGAGGACATACCTCTCTACCAAGCTCTGATTCAAGGCTTCAATCAGGGCTGGTTAGGACAAACATGTACATTTCTCTGAATTGCTTCTTTTGTTTATGTGTTTTTTCTCTAAGCTCCGTGCTTTTCTGTGCCTGCAGCTACTTGTACCCAGATGGCCGGGATGTGAACCCTGAGTTGAAAAGCTTGTGTGAACCAGCCAGCAGAGGAAAAGTTAAAGTTACAGAAGTGAGTGGCTGCAATTTATACATCATTATCTATTTAACTGCAGCATCTTGAACCTTTGCCAAGACAAAACAGATAATATCCTGAGATGTTGTCTTGTCTCTCTGACTAAATACAACCACCAAACAGGAACAGTATGAGCTTTACTGTGAGATCGGCAGCACCTACCAGCTATGTAAGATATGCACAGAGAGGGATAAAGACACCCGGATTCAGCCCTGTGGCCATCTCCTGTGCCAAACCTGCCTCACAGGCTGGCAGGTATGAATCTTCATCCACGGACTCAAAGTTTTCAAATCTGTAACCTATTTAAATCCATTCAAATTCACAGACGCATGTTCAAATATATCCCGCTCATACAGAGACGTTGAAGGGAGACAGACAGTTACTGTAACCGTTGTTGTGTGTTCATTGGGGTGAAACAGTCTGGGCTGGCTGAACTAGATATAGTTTTTTAGGCCACGGGTTGGTCGTTGGTTGCAGTCCTGCTGTACTGTAACAATGCGGGTTATTTGAATGTGGTTTGGGGTTGGTGCAAAAAAAGATTTCTCATGCAAACACTTTATTAAAATGTAGGATTGGCAAGAAGTTATTTTAACTCTGAAAAACTACCTTGATTTATTTTTCCCCCAGTATTCATATATTATCTTCAAAAAATAATATGGAATTATCACACTTCTACATGGCTGTGATTTTCCTCTTCCACTTTTCTTTTTTTCCTTTTTTTTTGTTTACATGAAAAATTATAGTCGAGCTCAGGCAATATCGAGTGCACCAATGCTTATAAAGCACCTGTAATATGTGCTCGGTTGAGCTATTTTTAGATTACCTATTAGATTTTATAGCTTGATAGCCGAGGCATGACACTCAAGAATCATCCTCTCATAATGTCACCATTATTTATTTGTATATAATAGAGATAATACAAAGTAGCTCATAGCCTATTCACTATAATATAAACGTGAAAATCTGAGGACAATGTACAGAATATCATGTGATATTGATGTTTCAATACACTTTACATTTGACCTCTTTAGATGACAGAAATTTCTCAGCCAAAGAAAATTCAGTCATCATGTGTACAGCATGTCCTGTATGCACTTCGTTTGTTCTCTTCCAGGGGGGCTTCCCCAACTTCCTGCTTCCTCTTTCGAGTTACAGAGTGACAAAGAAGACGTCCAATCAGAATTAAAGCTGGAGCTGTCAAAGTATAGCTTCATGGTCTCTGGCTAGTTCTTTTACTCAGACAATCCCAGCTAGAAGCCCTCCACCTATTCAGTAGGTGTTTTGTTTGTTTTTTTGAAGGTGCAGAGCAACATGTCCTGACATTTGGCTCAGGACTTCCTGTGTGAGCTTAGCCTCACATCCTCCTTAAGCTGCATCTGTGACATTCACTATGAGAAAAAGTGTGCGCATGTAATGAGAGAAGGAGAAAGGCAGAGAGAGGGAGAAAGGGAGAGAGAGAAAAAGAGACTAACTTGAAAAGAAAGTTCAAAGAGCTTCATGGATGCCACACCACAACGGAAAAGTTGTAAGTTTTATGAGATTAAGGTTAAGCAAACTTTCTTTTTAACAGTAAGTTTACTTTACATAGACATGTAAGGTGTAAGGAACATAACCCAAAAACAAAATCAGCATTGCAGCAGCATACCAAATATTAGAACGTGTATGTTAAATTCAGTAAGAGTTTGAAATAGAACATTTATAGACATGCATCATATTTCTGTAGTAGGAATGCTTTTACAGTGGCCCTGAATTTTTTTATTGATAGGATCTCGATTGATTTGTTGTTTGGAAACGTAAACATGAAGTTTTTAAGTCAGACGTCTCTTTATCTTGGTCTCATCATATCGATTATGTAATCTCCAAGATGGCAAACAGCATCACTGTTTCAAGGAAATGTCCTACATATCCTCTCATTTCTGTCCTGTTGCATGTTACTAACTCATTCATTCTGTCATATCTGGAGTACGGCCCAATAATTTAGCTGCTGATAAACATCTAGAAAAAAAAACTCCTGCTGAGTATGCATTGCTCCTTCTGTACAACTGTGTGCAAGATGCATAAACCATTATCTTGGCATACTGTTCATGAGAGGTTAAAGGTGTTTCTGTTAGTCATAAACACAGCTATAGTGAAATCTATGTCTTATTTCTTTTGTGAAAAATTTGTAAGTAGGGATTTTAATGACGATCATCTGACACAACAAAAGACTTCCAGGCAGTTAGATTTAACGTATGTTTGAACTAATGTAATGAAAAGAACTATTTTGTAGTGAGGTTCCCTATAAACATTAATCCCTGTTAAAACTAGAGACGTACCAGCGTACAAAAATAGATAACATAGTATGGCGAGCAGTCTGTGTAATCATATTAACAAATCGAGGTCACATCAAAACCTGGAAAAACACAAAGGCTCTGTGCTATAGTAGCGGAAGCAAAAGCAGAATGTTACAACGATTCCCTTTTATGTTGAGGTGGAAAACCACAATCTACAGGGTCTGTTGAACGTGGTATTTTCCACTACCTTTATCTTTCAAACAGCCAGAGGCCTTTGTCTTTGAAGACATGTTCAACATATTCCACTACATACTGTACAATTTAAAAGATATTAATCTGCTGAAGAGAATGGGTGTTTCTTCACATTCACGTGAACGTTCTCTTTTCCTCTTCCGATGATGCGTTGTTGATATTCATCTAGCAGAAGTCAGCTGGCCAAACCTGCCCATACTGCCGCTGCGACATCAGAGGAACAGAGTCCATCCTCCTGGAGCCGTACGTGCCAGTCAGCGATCAGGTGCTGGTGGAGGAGGGCGATGATGACGACGACGAAGAGGATCATGTGGATATTGAAGAAATGGTAAAGGAAATAGCTGCCCTGAGGAAGGTGTGTAAATACATTTCCGTGTTCCATGTTGTTTAATTTTAGCTGTGCTGTGCTAGCAAATTGAGTTTTTGGTCTGCCATCAACAGCCATAGTATGGCCTGCCATCGGGTTAAGAGAAAATAATTGTTTGCATGTATAGCCTCTAGCAGGTCAACTTTGTCATGTAGTTTTCATTCGACGTCATCGTTTGGACAAAATTAAATTAGTCATTAATCTTTGGTTAATAAAATAAGTACATGCAAACTCATTAGACTGCAATGTACCTTCTGCTTAATGTCAATACTAGTTATAGGATACTATATATAGTCACTTGAAAGCAACATCGCCCAAGTATAGATTCATAAAACCACCTTCACATCTTTTTGACTATACAAATAAACATTTGTAGTTCTGTGTTTAAATAGTTGTTATACAGTAAAATCCAGGCACCTTGTGTGCACCATGCATCCTCATTCGCATTTCTGCCACTTTAAAAGAAGTTCTCTCTATTGAGTGATAATTTTTTTTATTATCATTTTTATTTATTTATTTATTTATTTATTTTCCAGTTTTCCAGTTTGGACTTCCAGTATCCCAGCTCTCACATTAGCGCTCCACCTTTACCCCCTAAAAATAATACAATGCCACGCTGTCCCTCTCCCTCCGTCCAGTCTCAGACGTCTGAAATTAAGACACTGCCCAAACACTCCAACTCTTATTCGGTAAGTTCTTGCTGGCATTCAGGTTAGTTGCATATTCTTCTTGGTTATGGCAGCTTGAAAATGTGAGATGTTGCATTTGTCCAGTTCTCCAAGAGACTAAACTTTTAAAAAAGTAATGAGAAGATTTACCAGCTGCCGTGTGCATATGCGCAATAGCCGACGCCCGTACAGTCACTCTGTTTGTTCTCTCCTGCAGCCTCAAAGTAGCAGTGAAACGCAAAGGTACAGAAAACAGACAAACAGGTGAGCAGAGTTGTTATAGTTTTGTATTTTGTAATTAGTTTTTATTTTCATTCCATTTCTTTTTTAGTTCAGGTTAGTTTCTATCTCTGTCCAGAGTGGATCGTCAAGTTTTACTTGAGTTTTTATTGTTTGAAAACAAAAAAATGTTTTAATTTAAAAGTTTTAATTTAGTTTTTTTTTAGTCTCTTTATGTCTTTAGTCTCATAATTATTAAATTATGATCCTAAATTGTGATCTTAAATCAAGATTTAGGAAAATCATTATACGTATTACAATAAAAACTTTTTTTAAGTAGTGGAAAGTAGTAGTCTTACAAACCATGTCCAATAATTTATTGCAAATTGCCTCACCAGCAAGTTTTAATAACATTTTTACCAACCTAAGAGATACTAAAACTAAAGATATTACCTTTATATTTCTACCTTAATTTTCTTTTCTTTTTTTTCAATGTTACAATGTTTTACAATGTTTTTTCACACATAGTTTTAGTTCTTAGTTTGATTTTAGTTTACTTTAATAACCTTGTGGGTGATATCAAGGTTCTCTGCTTGTATGCTAGAAAGAGCATTTTCCTGCTACTCAATTAAGATCCATGACATTCTAGCTTTATTTATAGTCACCTGGTAGTCTTCTTTCAGAGAAGTAAAAAGCTGCTTCTGTGACAACTGATGGCTTTGATGAACTAATTTTACAAACTACACCGGTTTTAATGTTATTTTCTCATTTTGTTTTGGAAAGGAAGATTTAATTGTTATTTGGCAAACAATATTTAATTAGAGGAATCATAAAATGATTAAAAATGGTTAGGCGACCTGCAAGCCAAGTTACTGAATCTATACAGATATTGAGACTATTAAAATAATTAAAATGTTTCTATGCTTTGTAACTACGCATTAAAGCCGAGAGGTAATTTTTAAAAATCCAAATGTTTCTGTTTTTGCTTGTTAGGTTATTCTTGATGGTTGTTCTATCTAGGATCACTAGCTTAGGTTAATGGAAAATACATTATTTACACAATGATTTATCGAATTTAAAAAAAACAACTCAGGTGATAAAATATATTTTTCTGTCTTTATTTAGTTGTCGAACGGAGGGTTTACACGGCAGTGAAGAGGAATACGCTGGTGAGCTGAGACCACGCCCTTTCTCTCACAGGTGATTGACTCCTGTCTCCACTTAAATTTCACAGCAATAAACAAGTTTTGTTTTTTTTATTCAATTTTATGCATGTAGTGCAGTTAGTAGTCATAATGACAGGATGGTTCATGTGAAGCAGTTAATTTACTGGTATGTTTATGTGTTTGTAAAACAGCGTGGAACACCTGAGAGAAGCAAACTTTCCTTCCTCCTCTCAGAGAGCTGACGACAGTAAGTCATAGTTGTTACAACCTTCTTTCGTCTTCTTTTGCTGGGCGATGAGAGTTTAGTTCAAGAGTTTGGAGTTCGCCTTGTAATCGGAAGGTTGCCGGTTCAATCCCCGGCTTGGACATTCTCGGTCGTTGTGTCCTTGGGCAAGACCCTTCACCCGTTGCCTACTGGTGGTGGTCAGAGTGTCCGGCAGCCTCGCCTTTGTCAGTGCGCCCCAGGGTGGCTGTGGCTACAATGTAGCTTGCCATCACCAGTGTGTGAATGTGTGCGTGAATGGGTGGATGACTGGATATGTAAAGCGCTTTGGGGTCCTTAGGGACTAGAAAAGCGCTATATAAATACAGGCCATTTACCATGCGTAAGGAGCTGATAATACTTATAACTGACTATTTCAATAACATTGTCAGTGCAGCGTGGTATTGCTCATTTGACTTGTCTGAATACTTGCTGCATGATTGGTGAAATAAGAATAATGCTTCCTTAAACATGTTTAAAAAAGTATAATGTGCAACAAGTTGATACAGAAGTGTGAATTACATATGTTGTTATTCTGTATGTGTGCTTCTTAAATTTCTTTCAGATACCGTCTGGGTGGCTGTGGCTACAATGTAGCTTGCCATCATGTGTGAATGTGTGTGTGACTGGATGTGTAAAGTGCTTTGGGGTCCTTAGGGACTAGAAAAGCGCTATATAAATACAGGCCATTTACATACAGTAATGTGAGCAAACATGCAGAGGACCTTCCATCTTAAAATGAACTAAAGAAATTTCACCTGATGCACAAGACTGGAAAACAGTTAGAAACATACTGAAATCATTCAACGCTTTGAACCACATGTTTTTTACGGGTGTTTCTCTAAAAAAAATGAAAAACACATTAAAGACACACAGCTGCACTGCAGAGAAAAATAGGCCTCTTCAGGTCTTGAATGGGATATATTTGTTTGCTTAATAAGCTTTACTTGCTTTTCTTTATGATTTTTATTCTACATCTCAGACATGTTCACCTTGTCATGACAGGAAATTAGGAAATTGAACTCATACTGTTAAAAATAGTTTCATTTTTGACGCATTGCAGCACATTAGCATAATAATGGTAGCACCGAGATCATTTTTCTCAGGTCAAAACTGTGAAATTGATTTGTTTTGAATTCCCCTTAGGTGCTCTTATTTATTAGGTTTAGGTATTATTGTTTTAGTATTTTATCAGAAGTTGGAGATGAGATTCTATACACTTACATGAATAACGTAAGTCACCTTAACCCGCTAGACTTCTTGTGAATATTGTGCATTTCACGTGAAATCCCTGTTTGATTGTGTGTAGGTGGAGTACCCTGGCTCGGACCCAACATCCCTGTAATGGAGAGAAGACATAAGGAAAAGGAGATGAGCAGACCAGGGCTCAGAAAAGACAAGTACGCTCAGGGAGAGATGAAGAGAACAATGTCATCCTGAGTGACAAACAACACGTAGAGTCAATAGACTTAATTTCATCCAAGAAATCAGCCTTTGTTGAATGTAAAAAATAATATTTAATGCTGCAAACTACCATGTGCATGCTGCACTGCTGAAAATGAGTGGAGTGCTTGGGACTAACAGAAAAATTGCCCACTGTGGCCTCCTACTGTTTGATAATTGCACTGCCATTAGCAACACGGTAGGTTCAGTACTAATTCCTAAATATAGTGTCACATTAGATCTTCTTTGGAGTTAAAGTATTTACTGACACTCTGAAACAGAAATTAAGGAGAGGCTTAATAATTGACAATGTGATTTTTATTAAATAATAGAAAAACCCTACCTCTTTCTTTAATCTATAACATAAGTTTGTTCTTGTAAATGTTATAAGAGTAGAGAAGGGCCTCTATATTGATAAAGCAGTTGTAACCCTTTGAAAACAGCAGATAAATAACATTACAGTCATTCAGTTTTACATAAAAGTGTTTCACAATTTCTTCAGATATGATATTTGACCTACATGCAGAAGACATGCTGCATGTGTACTTTAACCAGACTTGTTGAACATTTATTTCTCTCTCCCCGTCACTCCAAATAAGGGTCTTTGAGTATGTGTGAGTGTTAAGGTGCTGCAGGATATTGCTAAGCAAGCTGTATCAAGTACCTCCAAGACAGAGTCACAGAAAGACCCTTTCTCTGGAAGGGCAAAAGCAAAGATGCATCACAGAGGAACATTTCAGTCTAAGAATGAGAGAGAGCATTATTATGTACAGGTTATTGCTGTTTAGGTCATTCTCTAGTGAACAGAGTAATTCGGAAAGATGCATGAGAAACATGCACAGTTTGTGTGACTTCAGGCAGTTCAGACGTGAGCTATATTAAAAATTATATGTAAGTGTTACTATATCTGACGTAGAAGGATTACCATCAAAACTGTACAGGAAATGATAAATGCTGAATTTATCCAGACATAAAGTGATACATTAAAAGGCGGTCAGAATAATGTGAAGGCGCTTTATTTACATCTGTAACTGATTATAAATACAGTAACCTGTAACTGATGCATTTTTGGTCTTCAAGTTTTATTTGATGTTTTTTTTTCCATTAAATACAAACAGACCAATCAAAAAATGTGTGTATACTAAGAAGTTTCATTTATTAGTTTTTTTTGTCCAGCACGTGGGCGATGGGATCGGTACAACAGCCTCAATCACCTCTGAGGGCTGGTAGATTTTGGCCAGTGTGATGTCGTAATCTAGAGTCTGATAGTCGTACCTGCACACACAGAAATATAAAATAAGTCTCAGCTGTTTGTCTGAAGTATTTCATCAGTGAATGGAAATATTAAACTGTGTCGTGTAAAAGTAAATCGCAGACAGGGCCGATCCTTTCTTTCACTCACTGAGGGAGCCAGGTGATGATGTCATTCTTCAGCTTCTCTGTACAGGCAGATTAAACAAGAAAAACAAAATCCTTAAAACAGATTATCTAAGATCCAAAAATTTGTCATACACCAACATGATCTTTTTAATGTAGTTATTTAGTTTATCTATTTTTTTAATAAAGAAAGTAATGCACAAACTCATGTTTCCAACACTGAGTACTTACTTGTACCAACAGTGGGCAACAGAGAGCACGCGCTGCTTGCTGATGAGCACACCATCACTGATGTGGTAGTCTGTTCAGTGAGGCCATGTATGGTGATGTTCACACTCTTTACGAGTAACTGCCACTGTTGCACAACAGTTGAAGTGAATTTCATTTCAAATCTGTGTCATTACAACAGAGATATGTACATTGTATGTATGTGTGTATCTCTGTATTTTTACCAGCAAATGCAACCTTCAGCAGAGTCAGCAGTCTCATGGTGTCTGGCAAATGCCCAGAAGACACCTAGGCACACTCTGACTCATATTGCAATAGTCTGTGTGCTCCAACTATTCCTGCTCCTCCTCTCTTGCCTGGTTATGTTGACCCCGTCTGTATCTCTGCATTCTGTTCTTACCGCTTGGTGCTAAGTGTTCATCCAAATCTCTTATCTCCCCACATTTAACACCTGTTTAAGCTTCTCACATAGGTCACTCATTGTTGGCAAGCTACAGCCTGGGATGGGGGTCCACTGGTGGATCGCGGGCCCATCTGGCTGCATCCCAGTTTTGCTGCTGATTCCGTGGGGCATCTGCTTGGCTTCATTTGGGAAGGGGGGTGGGGGTCTTTGTGTGTCATTTGCAGGTGGGTATGTGCGTGTGCGTGATTGAGTGAATGGCCTTGATGTGTGCATGCGTGCGTGTGTGTGTGTGTGCGTGCGTGCGTGCGTGTGTGTGCAATGTCCTTTAGACTTCTTGAGCTTGAAAGTCTGTATTTCATTCACAGCCTGAACTCTCGTATGGAAGCTTTCCTGTAAATTCTTACTGACAGTAATGATGTGCAATATTTTATAAAGCAAATCGTAAGACTCCGGAACCCCAAATCAAAAATTATATGCTGGCATTTTTATTATCGTATAAATTTCAATGAATTAACCCCCTAATTGCTAAAACTAGTCTGTACGTACATGTCGACATCTGTTACCTGGATACTAAAGTCAGATGTGAAAGATTTGTCCTTTCTTCAAGAAAAAAAAAATTCTAAACATTATTTTGTGCAGAAAATACAATACATATAAAGTTGTGCTGGAGGAATGGCTTTTATTACAGACATGATTGCTGTCAAAACATTTTATGAATGATAGTTCTGTTTAAAAAATATAGAAAATGCTCAAATGTGTCAATGTTTGGGTCTGCTTTTGGTCATGTTTGTATAAAAGCCAAATGAAGTGAGAAAGAAACCATCTGTGCTCTCAGGAGCAAGAAAATAAAAGTAGTCCTACATTGTTTGTTTTTTTTTGTTTGTTTGTTTTTCCTGAATTATGGCAGTATGTACAAACACAGTAGTTGATAGTTGCTTAAAAAAAAGGGGGTGGCGGGGGGGAATCATTTCTGCACCTGTCACCAACATAAATAGAAGGTATGCAAATAAGACTGTCAAAAATAAGACAAAGTTGTGTTTTTTTTAAAAGGGATATGTTGTTGACTTTAGTGGGCAGGTTTGTAGGTGGATGGAAAAATGAAGGTGTCCAGGGCGAGGGGTGGATGGAAAGTCACAGAGAAGCTGATGTATAAATACGTTGAATAACAGGTCAGTCGCATCCAGTCTGCTCTTGAGCAAGCTAAAAGATGATTGGTCTGATTGTTTTCATGATCCTGGGCACTGCAGGTAAAGACTATTTGAATCATGCTCAAAGATTTTAGAGTAACACAGACTTTTAACTTTGATGAGTAGAACTTTGTTGTATTTCCTTCATATTACAGCTGCAGTCCCTTTGGATGACAAGATTGTGGGGGGTTACGAGTGTCCAGCTCATTCTCAACCCTGGCAAGTATCCCTCAATGAGGGCTACCACTTTTGCGGCGGTGTTCTCATTAACAACCAGTGGGTCATTTCTGCTGCCCACTGCTGGAAAATGTTTGTACCGACTTCTTGTATCTTGAAATTCTTGCTATGTGTGTCTAAGAGAACTGTAATAATTTAATTGTTGTTTGCTTTTCAGACCCTCTACCCATGTTGCCATTGTGGGTGAACATACAATCTGGTATACTGAGGGCACAGAGCAGTATATGCCAATTGACGACATCTACACACATGAGAGTTTTGATTACTTTACCCTAGACTATGACATCATGCTGATGAAACTGAAATACCCTGTTACTGTAGACGAGTACGTCAAGCCTATTGCTTTACCCAAAGCCTGTTCCACACCTGGGGATATGTGCACAGCATCTGGATGGGGGCAGACATTCCCTGGTCAAGGTAAGGCCCACCTGATTTTGACAAAAAAGGTTTTGAAAAATTGACTTGCTTTTGGCAACATATTAAGAATTTTCTCACAAACCTTGGTAAATTTAAAAAAATATAGTTAAAACGTTTCATAGATATGAAGACATTTGAACTAAAGCCTTCAATAATTAAGAAATCTTTTCTGTAGAAAGCTTGTTTTTGGCTTAATGTGATGACTCTAAACTCTAAAAAATGAATGCAGAGCACTTATTTTACACCAGTTTCAGAAGCCAGTTATTGTTGGCATGCAAGCATGATGTGGTTGTGATGCACACAGATGCTCTGAATACTTTAGTAAAGATAACAATCCCCTCTCCTTTCTCTCAACTGCAGAATTTTCATATGAGCTACATTGTGTAGAAGTCCCAATTCTGTCTGACAACGACTGTGAGAACTCCTACCCTGGAAGGATTACTGAGAGCATGATGTGTGCTGGATACCTGGAAGGGGGCAAGGATGCTTGTCAGGTATTTTTACCCAGTTACTTGAATAGTATACCATTGAATAGTATACTCATTAGTAAACCTTAATGAGATGAGATGATGAACAAACCCTGCTCTCTTCTTACGCTTCCTCTCCCCTGCTCAGGGGGACTCTGGTGGCCCTCTGGTGTGTAATGGGGAGCTGCAGGGAATCATCTCTTGGGGCGTGGGCTGTGCTGAGCCCAACCTTCCAGGTGTCTACACCAAAGTCTGCTCTCTGGTTTCCTGGATCAATGACACTATTTCTCGATACAGCTAGACTGTCATCTCTAGAACTTCACGAGAGAAGGGAAAACAGAGAGATTGAAATTGAAGGAGACAGAGAACGGAGGTGGTTGTGGGTAGTGTCAGAAAGAAAAGCAGCAGGCTAAGACAGAGTCACAAGGAAAAACCAATCTGAGGGCACAATAAATAAAATCAGCTATTCTGCATCAATATGTTTGTATTTATTTGTAATGTTACTGCCACTTTGGCAAATGTCTTACTATAAGACATTTCTGTAATGTCTCATATTAAAAAAATGTAATTATTGTGTCAAAGTGTGGCTACCCTTTTACAATCATGAGTGACTGATGCAAAACTCAACACATAAAGTTGCTTCATTAAACAATGGAAACAGTTTTTATATTCAACTTATTTATGCATGCTTTTGATGCGGTTTTGTCAGAAGTTGTACTCCCCCACCCCCTATGTGAATATAACAGTAAATACAAAATATTGAAAATTATTGTGCAGCACGTAAGATCGAAAATTTTATAAGAAGTGTTTACTTGAACACAAGATCTGGTGGCAGAAACACACAAGGAGATTTCATGAAGACCTGTAGTTGAAGATATAAGGCATTTTTCCAAAGTTTCTTTTCAAAACATGGACCTTTGAAAAAAGTCATAGTTAATGTTAAAGTGTGCAGATGCTTGGACAAGCTTTACCTCCTGGCCGCTTATTTTGGGGATGCATTTTTTCCTCCCAAATATTTGTTGCCTAAACAGCATAAAAAACAAACTTATTTACATAATTGTTATATACTATATTAAAAAAAAGAAGAAAGAAAAAAGCAATTAATGATCATAGATATAAGGTGCAGAAAAGCGATGAGTACATCAGTACATCACTAGATCCTGTCATGGCGGGGTACGCCGGTGTGTTTACGGACCGAAAAGCAGACACAGAAGACTGATGTCCAAAAACAAAAGAAACAAGGCAAAGCGAAACAAGGGCGAAACTAAACTAAAACTTAAACTAGTAAAGAACTAAACCAGCTATAAAACAACAGCAAGAGACAAGAACATGAACCTGAACAGGAACATGCAAAACATAAAAGTGAAAAAATTTAAACATGAGCATGAGTACGAGCAAAAACTCTGTGACGTGACCTGAAATGACATGACCTGAAAATAAGACAAACAAACGACCCGACAAAGAACAGAGGAAGACAGAGGACTTAAAAACACAGAGCGAAAATGAGGGAAGTGGACAGGGCTGGAAATCGGCCCGGGCATTTTGACTAGAGACCAACCCACCAAAAATGTGACGTCATTCAGGGGTAAAACCGCAAAGGATTCTGGGAACTTGTGGCAAGAGGTACTAGCGCATGCAGGCTTTCAATTGAACTCAGTTACACAGCGATAAAAAGAAACACAAAAAATGGCAAGAAGCTGTTGTATTATTAACTGCAATAGCCGGTGTTGTGCCAAAAACTGATTTCTGGTATTTACCAAAAACTGATTGCTCGTATTTAAATTGCTATAAGTAACTTGTTGGGCTATAATATGTGAAACATATGTCAAATGCATCCCTCATGGATGACATAAAGTCATCTCTCCATCTCCATCTCTCTCTGCTGCTCTTCTGTCTCCTCTGTCACAGACTTCTCCACTTTTGATGATAAATCAGCCTGGTGCAACATGTAAGGATTGGCACAATTTGTTAAGATTTTGAGGAGTTTGAGAAACTAACCTGAAGCATAAAATAAAATTCACTATCAGTAACTTCATAGCACCCGCCCAGCAGTATATAAACTCCGTCATGCTAGCTAGTACGCAGTACCAGTTATTCTAAGCGACTGTAAAA